ATAGGGCCTGCAGGCCCTTGTTTTCAGTTTTCAGGCTGAAACGACATGGGGCCTGTAAGCCCTTATTTCTAGGCTTTTAGGCTGAGAATGCGGGACGGGCCCTGCAGGCCCGTGTGGCTACACAGTATGCCACACACACACACACACACACACACACACACACAGAGTAACACTACTAGTGTGTTGCCATGTTCGCCGCACATGCCTGAGTCGTCATGTTCGCTGTATGCAACTCCACAAAAGGAAGCACGACCGTGCCAGACTGTTTCGTCAGATGTTCACCGACTCATCAGAAGGCTGAACCCCGGCAGTCTGCCCAAGATGCATTTGCGTGTGTGTATGTCGTGTCATGATCGTAATACACAACTCCAGTCAGAAGGTTGCATTTGAATGTGTCCATGTGTGTGTGCATACGTGTGCGTGCGGGTGCCTGCGTGTGTGTGTGGGTGCCTACGTGTGTATGTGGGTGCCAGCGTGTGTGTGCGGGTGCCTACATGTGTGTGTGTGTGCATGTAAGTGTGCGTTGTTGACTGCCCTAAAGAGCACCGCTTCGCCACCAAAGGCCTGAGCGGGACAAAGGGGAACAGTTTTGCTTCAGGCCTGGTGGCTGGTGGGGCAAACCATACGCTGAGGGCCATCCTGCATGTGGCAATGCCCAAAGGCACCGGGCGTAAGGCCTGGCAATTTTTCTTGCTCACTACCTGCTTTTTTTCACTACCTACAGGCCCTCAGGCTCTCTTCCCGACGGGTGCATTGATCCGGATCGCTGGCCGGTCCAACAGTTCGGATTGTAGCATGATCTTAAGACTTTAAGATCACGATGATCCTGGTCGCCCACCCTGTTTGACGGCCTGGATCATCGCATGATCTTAAAGTCTTAAAGTCTTAAAGATCGCACGACAATCTGAACCGTCGGGCCGGTAGGACCACGGACGGCCCCGATTGCTGATTTCTCATGTTAGGGATTTCTACAAGTGTAGGGATAGAAAATGCAAGGTTGGCCAAGTTTGTGTGGTTCGACGCCAAGTGCCCACACACCCCTCAGCCGCCAAAGCGGCACACTTGCACAAAAACATATTGACATATATTATATGTACATATATTTATTTGATCCATAAAAGGGTGGAGGGCAAGAGCTTGTTACCTAAGACACAGGACTCCCCCAGTAAGAAAGCACCGACCCCATCCGCCATAGGTCCGAAGAAACTTGGAGAGCCCTCCACGCGTGTACGTTGTTGAAGCACCCCAAATTCTCTCTCATTTCCTCCATAAATCATAACAAGCCATCCATAATGAAAAAGTATGCATAGACAATATAATAGAAAACGCAAGGTTGACCACATTTGTGTGGTGCAGCACCAAGTGCCCACACACCCATCTGCCACCCAAGCGGCACACTTGCACATATACATATAGACATACATTGGAGGGCAAGAAGCAACTTACCTAAGACAAAGGACTCCACCAGCAAGAAAGCACTGACCCCATCCACCATAGATCCGAAAAAACTTGGAGAGCCCTCCACTTCGGCCCACAAAACCATAAAACAGCATAACACAAACGGCTCCACTAACAAAAAAGCACCGACAACACATGCCAATGGTCTAACAACATTTTTTTAGAGCCCTCTGCAACGACCAACAACGCCACCACAAATCAAAAATACACTGCAGGACCTGTACGTAACACCAAGAGTGCCATGAACCTCCCCCTGGCGCAGAACCTGCAGAATCGGATGATGTCCTAGTGTTACAGGGAGGCCACTGCGAGAACTATGCCAAATTCCACAAGATCTCATGCAACACCAGGAGCTCTACTGCTTAAACACCTTAGAAAGGCACCCCATTCTTCCACATGCTCCGAAAGAGCAGCCCGCGGGAATGACACCCACAGCAAACACTCTCTGGGCCTCCTCGCAGAGATATTGTGGCCACGACCCTAAACTCCCACCCCAGAAAAAACTAGTGGCCACCCGCAGACATGTCTTCATCAACAAGACAGCCCGTGCTACAAAGCAGGGCAAAGAATTTGTGTGCGTGTGTGTGCCACATGTCTGGTCAATCTGCCGCTGGATCAGGAGAGAGAAATGACGTGTGACGCGATGTGATGGGGACAGAGGGCGAGATATTTGCTGTTGCCCACGGCAACGTTCGCCAGCACAAGAACAAGAGGAAGAGAAGAGAGAGATGGCCGTTCAGGGGGGAAGGATACAGTGGAAGGTCATTGGGGAGGGCACCTACCATCACGTTGGATTGGCTGGTCCCACAAAAAGTGGATCAGGAATCCCACACGGTCTGACCAGGCAAGCCAGACCACCGTTGCCTGCCACCAAGCCTGAACCACATGCGGTCGGCTGAACCTGGTCCACCTTGCCTGACGTGGTCAGTGACCGGGCGAACAAATCTGCTGACAAAACTGCAAGGCCAAATAAACTTTGCCAGCCTGAGCTTTTACAGCTTCCGAAACTCAGGCCCAAGGAGATCAGATGACTTCTCCCTGTCCCTATGTATAAAGTGAACTCCCCTCACCACATCGCCTATCCTCCCCCGCCCCCCTTCCAACCCTCCCCCCTCACCGCCCCTGCTCTACCATAATCAAGGCAAACCGCAAGCCCCTTGACAGTCCCCAACCACCACCTCCCCCCCCAAATATATCTACTCCCCATTTAAGCTATTCCTCCCTGAAATAGCACGCAAAAGAGGGGTGAGGTCAAGAGGGCCTGCACAGCCGCCAGACCTAAACATATGTGAGGCCCCCTCCAAGTGCAAGAAGGCAGGAGGTATCCTGTCCTCCACAGTGACCTTGCTTTCCCCTTATTGATGAAGGGTCAACCCACCGGTCCTCCTGCTGCTTTGAAATTTGGACCATCGATATGGCCATGATGCAGAAAAGATGTGTGCCTTCCTTTAGTAGCCAGGAGCCACACTGTGAAAAAAAAACTGAAAAAATTCGCAAGTTTGCCTCCAAATTTTGTTTTTTGTTTTCCCATCTTACAATTTATTTTTTATTACTGTATTTTCTTTTTCTCTGAGAGATCAGCTCAGCACCAAACTTATGGAAGTAAAATTTTTCAGATTTCTTGATGCAAAATTACCAGTGCAAAAAATTGCCAAAGTTGGCACACTCAAATTTTTATGCGCAAGCGCCAACAACCCACGGGCAGTCGGCCGAAAGCTCACATGCACCCCCCCCCCATCACGGTGCACTCACAGGAGTGCCATTTTTCAATAGCCAGGGGGGCTGGTGTTTTAATTCCACAAAAACATATGATTCCATCATCAGGATTCGAAATCCGGTCTGTGTTTATCAACAGCCGCATGTCTGCACCATTCAGCCGTACCCATCCCAAGTTTTCAGTCAACACGTAGGAGGAAAGGTAGCACATCGAACTCTCACATCAGGAACATCCCAACCGCCCATGTTTTCCCTTAACGTGTGCCGACCACACACAACCGTTAGGCAGAAAGCTTACACGCCCCCCCCCCCTCCTCATCACGGCGCATCGAACTCTTAGATCAGGAAATCCCCAACCATGCAGCCTATGCTTTCCCTTAAATAAAGGGAAGTGCGCTGACCACACATGACTGTTAGGCCAAAAGCTCACACGCCCCCCCCTCATCACGGCGCAGTCACAGGACTGCCATTTTGCATTAGTGAAGTCCACAATAACATGATTCCATCATCAGAATTTGAAATCACGGTCTCTCTTTATCAAAAGCCAACATGTATGTAACATTAAGCAATCAGGCAGGTACCCATGCCACGTTTCTGATTTATGCATGGCATCCTTGCGTAGGGGGCACCACACTTTCTCAGGCCCAGGTTAACCCCCCCAGCACTGAAAAGTGCATTTGGGGATTATTTTTAAGGGGTTTTTTTTTGCCCTTTTTATAATTGGTCAAGGTCTGCATGGCCAAGTTTGGTGTTTGTTGGGATCTTGGAGATGACTGTTTTGGACAACCCTGAAAATCCTGAAAATCCTTTAAAAATCTGAAAAGAGCGAATTTTGCATGGCAACACACTTTGGCCTTGGGGATTAAGGCGGCTTTGATCCATTTTTTCACTTTTTCTGTTGGTTTATTCGGTGTCCAATCCATGGACTGGTGACAAGTCTGGCTTAAGGTGTGGGACGTTTGTTATAATGACCCTTCCTGAAATTATAGGGCTCTGTTAAACCACCATTACCTCCGACCATGTTTTTACGGACCCTGAATTTCACTGTGCACCCAGTTTTGCCTACCCTAGGTCCCATTGTCTTTTCTTTTCTGGTACTCATACAAAAAAAGGAAAAAACTCGATTTCATCACCGCAAGGACAAAGGAAAAAAAGTAATACGGACGCAAACGCTGTCGGATGCAGACTCTGGAGTACATGTGAGACCATGGCCTCACACAATTTCGTTCTAGGGCGTGAAGATGCCACAAGGAATGAGCAACCTGGCGGGGGGGAAATGACCGACCCTATGCATGTGAAATCGGTTACATGCAGAATCTTTTGAGTGTGTGAGACTATGCCTTCAGTCAGACGCCTTACAGCGATGCCTTCATCAGGGCAGTTACCATCTGCAATGAAAAAAGAAAAAAATGAAAAACAATGAAAAAAGAAAAAAAAGAAAACCTACGTGAATTCAGTTCCATACAGAATCTCCAGTACGTATCCAGCGGCCTAGCTCAGTTGGTTAGGCACGCAAGTGGCATTCAGGAGGTTGTGGGTTCAAGCCCCATGACCGCCTGCGGCGCACTTTGTGCCAACGAACTGGGATAGTCCTCTGGATACTCCTGATCGGTATTAGTGGAATCTATGACCAACATGGGTGTGAGTGCGAGCGCGAGTGGGTTGTGTGTGGTGTGTGGGAGAGTGTTGGCCATAGCCATTGCTGCTACTCGATGAGGGGTGGGGGACGATGAAAAAGGGAGGTGCAGCTACTGGCAGGTCTCGGTCTTTGTGTTAGCCAGACCCCCCCACTGGCGGCCCCAACCCTATACCCTAAACATTAGGGGCAAGGGGCAACATGAAATCTCCCCTTCACAGTGAGAGGAAACTATGCTTGCAGGGGTCCCTTCTCGATAGCCTTAGGAGTAGGTAGTGAAAGGCAAAAACAGAAGTTGAAGAGAAGAATATAGAAAGAATCTCTAGTACGTGTGAAAGTAGGCCCTCCGTGACGGAAGTGTCAGCAATCCGTACAAAGCGCCCTGCCTCACTGGCAGGGCACTACACCAAAACAGTAGAAGAGTAAAAAACAAAACAAAAACTGAACCTGAAACTATACGTGATAGCAGTCAGATGCGTTCCTAGAAGTACTGGTGCAATCACACCTCGTCCCCCACATCTTTCCTCAGAGCACAGTTGCTTCTTTTTTTTTTTCTTTTGGTCGCAAGCGGGCCCACAAGGTCCGCCGTCTTTCCTCAGTGCACAGTTGCCTCTTTTTTTTTTTTGGTCGCAAGCAGGCCTACAAGGCCCAAACATTTCTTTTCTCCCGAGCCACGTCCTTAGTTTTTTATTCTGTCCTTGCCGTGATGAAATCCAGTTGCTGTTTTGTTTTTGTACAAGTACCAGAAAAGAAAAGACAATGGGACCTAGGGTCGGCAAAACTCGGTGCGCAGTGAAATTCAGGGTCGGTAAAAACAGGGTCGGAGGTAGTGGAGGTTTAAAGAAAACCAAATAGTCTGCTCCGGAGGAAACTATCTGATAATACTGGGTATGTTCCCGATAACGCCCAAAACAT